TAAATATGTTTATGAGGAAAGGAGGAATGAGGATAGAGGATGAGCAAAAAGGGATTCTTGTCAGACTCTTTTATCCTTGTTCAGATTAATAAGAGGCCTGTGTCGCACCTACATGATAAGTAGGACAGATAATTTCCAGGAAATATAAAGAACACTCTTCAGATCACACACCTGGCAGGAGTTCAGCAGTTAGAATACCCAGAAAGTATTATGAAGTAGAAGAAAATGAGGGATGGTATGGAAAAGTATTGGTGAGCAGTTAGAAATATAAACTCAAAGGAGGAAAAAACGATCTATATTATTTATTTATTTTTCACCTAGCATGTGGCCTGAGGCTGTGCACATCATAGGTGCTCAGGAGCTACTTGGTGAGTGAATGATTGATCCCAGAATGATCAAAGTAGACCTATGAGAATATAAAATTAGGTCAATCACAGGAAGCCTCATGGAATTCTCCGTTTAAATTTGTAAAAAAGCAATAAACAGGAGGAAACAGGATTCAAACGTAAAGTCCAAGTATGATATAAGACGCAAACCAAATCTATATGTTGCTCAACTAAGGAACATATGCTACAAAGCTCCTCCTGGTCTGAGAGCTCTTTCACTCAGATCTCTGGGCCCATCTCGTGCTGCCTTTGTCTACCACTTGATATAATATACTTGATTATTTATCTTACCTTCTGAAAAGACTCTACTACCAGCAGAGTGAAAGCGTCTTGAGTCTGCATAATGACATTATATTAGCAAATAGTCTTGAACTTCTACCTGTTAAAAGATAAAATTACAACAAATCTAGTTTTGTAGATCTTCATTGCCTTTTTTTGTGATTCTAGAATCTAGCAGCACTTTGGGCCAAAATGGTTCAGAATGTTCTGCTCTATCACATGTGCAGATTATATTTTCAGACAGAGAAAAAGAAGCTACCTATGGAAAACAGAAGTGAGGTACAGAGAAAGCCCAGTTACATGGTTGACATCTCATACATGGTTTGCACAGCTTGCTGCCTGTGATTAGCTGAAACTCAGCTATTTGCTCCTAGTTAGGTTTTTACTTTGTTTCCGGTACTGAGTTAGGTCGCAGTTAGGAACTTGTAGGGAGGCATTCTTGGACCATTTTCAATTTTATTTAACATACCAGAGAGCATGACGCTAAAGGATCTCATATCTCAGTGTTAGCCAAAAAGAATCTTTGTGCGGTTTCCTGTTAAAGCACTACTGGGGTTAACAGCAGAACCTACTCATTGGCCTTCAGTGAGGCCCTGATGTATGTAAATGTGGTGTTGTTCTTAGGGGAAGAATTTTTATTCTCCATTGTACATAGACTTTTGCCACAATGCAGTCACTTCACTTTACTTTGGGGAAGACTGAGATATATTTCTCTGAGACAAAGATGGTACTTTCTTTTAGGTACATTGGGCAATTACACATAATATTGTTAGCTAATTAATTAGTTGCACATACTGAGGTAAATATTAATTTGGCAAAGTAGTGGATTTTCAATAAGAGATAGAAGGCTAGAGAGGGAGATTCACAGGGTTTCTATTTTGTAGACTGAACATACAAATATATTTTTCAGAGAAACACCGGACTTCCTCATTGCAATAGGCAGCCTACTAACAATTAGGGCATGTGACTGAGAACCTCTTGAGGTGAATCAGAACTGGAAAAATATGTTAGATACTGTCTAGAAATGATTGTTTTCTTTAGTGAGAAAGTTCAAAGCAAAAATGAAAACTCTAGAAAAATGCAAAAGTCTCTATTTCTACAGAGTAGCCTAAGTTTAATAAAGCCCAAAAAAGAAACATAAATTTTTAAATTTTAGCCTTAAAGCAAAAACTTAATAACCTTTGTTAATCAAACAAAATGTAATTGGACTTTTTTTCATCATTTACCTAACTAGCTGTGTGCATATATGCTGTAATGCTAGAAAGCTCTTGTGTCACTTCTGGGAAGGAATAAAATAATCATCCCACTCCGCCTTTCTTACCTTGATTCATGGCTCAAATATTTCTATTCCTGGAACATTACTGCAGCTTTGGTGCTAAGAAAATTGCTGGTAGAGGAAGAATGATTCTGCAGCCCTTCATTCTTTACAATTTTTACACCATCTCATTGTCTGACTTTGCAATCTTGCCATCTAGTGTTCAAAGCTTCTCAATACCATAGTTTATAAAATGCTTCACCTCATTAAAAGCAAGACAGTAAAGTGCTAAGCAATTTACTTTAAAAACAGTGTTTGGGAACAGTCAATGTAATAAATAGATCATCAATGAAACTTTAGAGCAAATTTTTTGTTAAATCTTTCTTGTTTATCATTATTGTCTCATTTATTTACTGTATTTATTCATAAATATTTGATATCTTGTTTCTATAGACATGCAAATTATACATGACATACTCTACATATTGAAATATATGCTTACTTATTTTATATTTTATTTTTACATTCTTCTCTCTCTGTACTACCTATACCTAACAAAATTATCATTAACTCTGAAGGCAAACAAATCTGAGTCATGATGGTAGATTGAATTAGAGTGGAATCAAAAAGAAATAGTTAATTGGAATATTTAACTGCTATGCATATCCTGCCCAGGCTGTGGTTTTTTTACTACTAGTGACTGTCCTTTCGAGGGGCAGATATAGCAAGAAAAACACAGGCGACTTTGACGCACATGAAATATGGTGGTTTTTCAGAAAACAAACAAAAATGCTAGTGTATTGCTTGTCTTACCATTGAGACTATTTAAATCTGTCTTTTAAAAACAATTTTTTTGGAATTCAGTTTTAGTAATGAATGAGTTGATTGCAATTTTCAAGATGTCCTGGAAATATGATTTTTATGTCCTTTGCAAGGTTTTAAGATGATCTCTTCTATAATGTCTATCAGTTCAGAATTTTAGAAAGAAAAACGTGTATTTACTTAATTATCAAGAAGACAAAATTAGTTAGTTAAAACAAGCCCTTTCAGATAACCTCCATCGTTTTAACATCTATAAAACAGTTGACAATATGCCTGTTGCGAGAGACTCTAATGTCAAAATGGAAAACCTCAGCCCTTACCCTGAAGAAGGCAAAGTCCTATGGTCCATGAGGTTGCTGCCTACTGTTCAGACCTTAAACATTTCCACTCTGGGCTCTGGGCTTCTTAGCCTTTGTTAATTCTGCAAAGACAGGTGACTCTCTCCCACTTTAGGCTGTTTTTCCCCCTTGCTTTGGTCAGAAATGCCTTCTTCTGTCCTTACACACTCTTCAAATCTTTTCCCAAATATCATTTTCTCGGAGGAGACCTCCAAATCTTCTCTTGTTATTAGATGATATGCCATAATTTCTTTTATTTCCACTCATCTTATTTTGGAATCTCATACTTGTCTTATTAGCAGCTTAATATCTGCTGCCTCAACTAGATTACAAGTAGTGAGCAGGCTAGAATAATACCACTTATTTAAACCCCTGAGGTCCTACCCACTGTGTTTTTCATAATACCCATTAGGAGTAGATGTGCAGTAAATAAATACCTGATGAAACCAGCCTATGAGCCCAAAATTGAGAACTGAGAAGCCCGTTGTCTCAGCTCATATAATTTCGTAAAGTCGGCTCTGCTTTCATGCCACAGCTAGGATAAGAGAATATTCACTGAGGCAGGAAACCCCAGTGCCTGCATCTCAGCTTCTCAAAGCACACCTCTCTGGGGACTTGTCACTTCCTGCAGCACAACTTGAGAGTGAGGTAAAGAATTCCCTGACTTGTTCACTACCACTCTTCCCAGTTCACAGGAAGTCAACTCTCCTTTCACGTTTTTGCCTCTTCTCCCCTGAAATACAAAAACCAAACAACTTCCCTCCTCCCCCCACACAGAACTCTATTCTTCCTTTCTTTACTATGATCCGTCTTCATGGATTAACAGGAATTATAAGATACAGAAGAGAAAATATAAATTAATATTTTAGTAAGTTATCTTGCCACTCACACTCAGCAGACGAAATTAATTATTCAAGTTATGTAAGGGGCTTTAGGTGTTCATTGTTTATTTTCATGACATTGCTCTTCTTTTCTAGAAGACTCTAAGGATTCTCAGCTATCTTAGAATATTAGACAAGCAATTATGCCGAGAATCAATCATTTTCAAAATTAGCTCTGTTAAAAATGTATAGCATATCACACTAAGCTTTGAGTATCTCTGGGCAAACACCAACATCTCAAAAATGAGTCCAACATTTTGAGAGATGAGTGAGGATTTAGTAATTCATTTTGACATTGAATGCACACATACACACATCTGTAGATTTGGTATTGTTTTTGTAAATTTTATTACAGTATATTTAAGATCTAATATATTTTCATTGTTTTCTTAAGTTAACACCTTTGCTTACCATCAGATACACACACAAAAAAATGCTTGAATGTTCAAACCACACTGATGATTATTTATTTATTTTTTTATTTTATGGGTACATAGTCGGTGTATATATTTATGGGTTACATGAGATATTTTGATACATGCCTACATGTGTAATAATCACATCAGGGTAAATGGGGTATGCATCATCTCAAGCATTCATCATTTCTTTGTGTTATAAACATTCTAATTATACTCTTTTAGCTGTTTTTAAATGTATAATAGATTATTGTTGACTGTAGTCACCCTGTTGTGTTATCAAATACTAGATCTTATACATTCTACCTTACTATGTTTTGTACCCTTAACCATCCCCATTCCCACCCCCCCCACACACACACACGCACACATGCACTACCCTTCCCAGCCTCTGGTAGCCATCATTCCACTCTCACACTGATGATTCTATAGATCCTTCTAGGCCTTCTTCTCCCCACCTGTGGTGGCATCTAGTAGGCATCACATAAATGCTCTCGGAAAACTGGATCAATTCATTCAGTTGCCAGCTTAGATAGAATTCTGACTCTTGGGCTCTTGAAAAAAATAAATAGAATGGTATGAAGTTTACTCCAGAGAACATCTTCACACTTCTGTCTCCACAGCAACACAGATGTACACACGGTGGCATCACTTCTTAAGCTGTATCTCCGAGAACTTCCAGAACCAGTTATTCCTTATGCGAAGTATGAAGATTTTTTGTCATGTGCCAAACTGCTCAGCAAGGAAGAGGAAGCAGTAAGTTGATGCATTTATTTCCACATAAACTTTTGTTTGGAATTTTTGTCTTTGTTCTTAGTCTTAAGTCTGTAAATTTCCGTTGCCCTATCCCAGTGTTATTCTCGACTATCCTATGTATTGACCACACACACAACTGAAACTTTCCATATACAGCTCAAGTACCATTTCTGATTCCCTCTCTGCTTAAAAAAAAAAAGAAGAAGAAAAGAAAAAAGAATATGGCTGAATAAATTAAATCAGCACGACTTGCGACTTTACTTCCCTAAATGGTAAACGCAGTGCTATGTCAGGTCACATATCACACAAAAAGGTGACTGCTGGCCAGACAAGGCGGCTCATGCCTATAATCCCAGTACTTTGAGAGGCCAGGGTGAGTGGATTGCCTGAGGTCAGGAGTTCAAGACCAGACTGACCAATATGGTGAAACCCCGTCTCTACTAAAAATACAAAAATTAGCCAGGCATGGTGGTGCATACTCATAATCCCAGCCACTTGGGAGGCTGAAGCAGGAGAATTGCTTGAATCTGGGAGACAGGTTGCAGTGAGCAAAGATCTAGTCACTATATCCTGGGCTACAGACTGAGACTCTATCTCAAAATAAAGTGACGGCAGTGTCTCATAATCTTTTAATTGTGTTGACCAAAACCACTTCAAACAGTGGCTTCTATAGAAAATCCTACCTACTGCTGTTTCTTTAAACAGTCTTGTTAAGATATAATTTTTATACAGTATAATCACTGATTTAAAATGTACAATTCGGTGTTTTCAGTATATTCTCAGAGTTGTGCAACCATCATCAAATTCTAATTTTAGAATATTTACAATATTTTTATTGCCTCAAAATAAACCTCTTACCCTCTCTTAATCCTCCTTTGTCCCCCAGCTTTTGGCAACTACTAATTTATTTTCTGTCCCTATAGGTTTGCGTATTCTGGAGATTCCATATACATGGAATCATTCAACCCCTTTTTTGTGTGTGCACAATTGGCTTCTTTCACTGTTTTCAAGGTTTACTCATGTTGTGCCACTTATCAGTATTTCATTCCTTTTATTTCCAAACAATATTCCATTATTCATTCATTCATCAGACAGACCTTTGCTTTTTTTTTTCTTTTTTCATTATTTGGCTACTCTGAATTATGCTGTTGTGAACATCCATGTACAAAGTTTTGCATAGACCTATGTCTTTATTTCTCTTGGATATACACCTAGAAGGTAGAATTGTTGGGACATATGTAACTCTGTGTTTTTCAAAAGGGCTGCAGCATTTTAAATTCCCACCAACAATGAGTGCAGATTCTGATTTCTTCAAATCTTTTCCATCACTTGTTACCTGTCTTTTTTGTCCTAGCCATCCCAACATGAGTAAAGTCATGTCTCATTGCAGGTTGAATGGCATTTCCATAATGGCTAATGAGACTGAACATCTTTTCATGTACTTATTGGATATTAGCATATTTTCTTTGGAGAAATATCTATTCAGATTATTTCCTCATTTTTAACTGGATTATTCACCTTATTATTAACAGTATTGGGTTGTAAGAGTTTATATAGTTTAGATACATGTCCCTTATAAATATGATTTTCAAATATGTTCTCACATTCTGTGTGTTGTCTCTTTATTTTCTTAATGGTATCCTTTGAAACACAAAAGTTGTAAACTTTGGTGAAGTCAAATTTATCTATTTTTAATCAGTTGTGTTTTTGTGTCATATCTAAGAAGACTTTGCTTAATACAAGGTCACAAAGAGTTATTCCTATATTTTCTTCTAAGACTTCTATAGCTTCAGCTGTTACATTTAGATCTGTGATTCACTTTGAGTTCATTTTTGGTTTTGGTGTGAGTAAAGGAACAAACTTAATTTTTCTTCATGTGGATATGCAATTGTCCCAGCACTGTTTGTTGAAGACTATTCTTTCTCCCATTAGATTTTCTTGACTCTCATGTCAAAAACTGCTGCCTATTTTTATAAATGCAGTTTTATTCCATTTGCTATCTAATACTGATTGTGGCTGCTTTTGTACTATAACAGAACAGTTGAGTGGTTGCAAACAGTGATCATTTGTCCCATAAATCTTAAAATATTTACTATCTGGACCTTTATGGGGAGAAGAAGAAAGCAAATTACATTATCCATTGGCTTTTCTGGTATCATTTACATATTAGGGGAAGTCATACAATGAGAAGAGCCAAATAAATTAGTTCTTTGTGAACTTTCCAGAAAGATCACTTTTTCCAATCATATTCTCTCCCCAAATGATGTATCCTAAGCATGACCAGCTCTGAGAGACTTTTATTTGTCAATAGATGTGTTTGTCTATGTTCTGCACATGCTAAAAATTGCAAGGATCCTTATTACATCGCTTAATTTTTTTCAAATAATCTTATTGATAAACGAGCTTATCTTCTCTTTTCAGGCGATTGCAAGCAAAATGCCTGCATTTTATCATTTAAAATGATATCATTTAAAAATGATATCATTTAAAAATGTTTATCATTTAAAAATGATAAACAACTTCACTTAAATCTGTCTCCCCACAAATAGTACTTATGGAGATATTTAAAATGCTTGTACATCTTTGAAAATGTTTCTAAAATATTCACTGTGATGGTGGTAAGTTTTCAGGACAAAATCTTTCATTGATAACATGTGAAACTAATGTTTTAAGAAAATCATATGGCCATTTCCCACTTGCTTTAATTCTAAGGCCAACATGTAGAAAGATAATACGTATTTTCTTTTTTGCACTCAGGGTGTTAAGGAATTAGCAAAGCAGGTGAAGAGTTTGCCAGTGGTAAATTACAACCTCCTCAAGTATATTTGCAGGTAAGAACTATCCTAAGGACAAACATAAACAAAAAAAGACATATTTAGCCTGATACTGATTTGTGTTTGACAATGAATAAAATCACTCAACTACTTTGATCCCTAGTGTTGACCTCTGTAAAACTAAAAGGTTGGAAAAGGTGATCCCAAAGACTTCTTTGAGCATTAAATTCCTTGATTCTGAAATTTGATGTTTCTGAAGTATTTCTTAAAGATATGTTCTTTTGAACTTCCATCAAGTGTTTGTACTATTCCAGGAGTGGCGTTGTTTAGGAAAAGAAGCATGCTATCTTGGCATGGGGAAGATCTGCATGGGAGCCAAGATTGTGTCATTGACTAGTTGCCTGTCTTTATGCAATTCTCTTATTCTTTCTGAGTCTCAGGGTCCTAATAGGTAAAATGGTAATGAAAACACGTATTTCATGTAGTTGTTTTAAAAATTGAATTATATTTTAAATATTAATATGTAGTAGTGTTCAATAAATGCTATTTTCTTTCCATTTCTCTCCCACCTCAGGATTTATCAAAAAGACATTTAACTGAATTCTGGTAGAAAAATAATTGTGCCTGAAAAATGTATCTCTCAGTGTATAACTCAAAGCCTGGGATGGGATATGTCATGCATTTGCTCCTGTTTAAGAAACCAAACATGCAAAATTGAAACAGAATAAACTTAAATAGAGAATGATGATTGACACTGCAAGTCACTGCAGGGCATCTTCCATGATGGCTTCCCAGTCTATTTTAAAATAGAATTCAAAGTTTTAATTCAGTAAAGTGCATCATTTATATATGTGTTTGGTGTTATGATTAGATAAGTGTTCAACGGGCTAGGAACTATGAAGTCTAAGACTAGTATCAGACATTTTGGTGGTAAGTTTCAATGTAACTGAGTAGAAATTCCAAATCCTCCCACAATAATTTTCTCTAGTGATGGCTATACTTAGAAGCAAATGGGACCTTGGGTTCCAGAATTTGAAAAAGCAAGAAATCATACCACTGACTGCTTAGACTTATTAATATGGAAGGTTATAATCCAAATATTTTGAACTAATTCAAATTATTCTAGTGTGTGAGACTACATTCTCCTTAGGTAAAAGAGAAGAAGAGATTACATTCTCCTAAAGTAAAGGGGACAAAAAAGCTTCTTTGGAACCATATTTTAAGTCTTTATCTCTGCAATAGAAAGGCCTAACTTCTCTTGAAATAATTAAGCAGACTTTCAATTTCAGGTATTTTAAATAAGAAACGCTAGTTTAACGTTTTGCCTTCAATGTTACTATGCTTTAGGCTGTGTAACAGTAATGAATGTGTGGAAATAGGCACCTTTTTAGAAAGTCATGATATAGTGGTTAAGGGTACAACCTCTGACATCATATCCTCTGGTGGGTTCAAATCTTAGCTTTGCCCCTTACTACCTCTGTCTTTGGAGAAGATCTTCCGTCTGGTACCACATGACTCTCATCTGTAAAACAGAGACAATAATGGTACCTATCTCAGAGACATGCTTTTAGAATTTAATAACTTAGCACCATGACTGACACATAATAGTACTATATAAATATGTTATTTTGATGTTTCATTATTTACTTTCTATCTCATCAGTACAGTTAGCAAGCCATGCAGTAAGAGAAGCTCTTGTATAAATAAAGAGGAGGTGGGGAATGAAGAAATGCTGAAAGATTATGAAAACAATCTCTCCTATTTTATGCCCCTTATTTTTTAGCACCTAATAAATTGAAACATTTTGCCTTTGCAATTTTTTATATCATTAGAAATGATGTTTTAATTTCTACTGTATTTTATCTCATTTCTTAAGTACTATAAATTTGGAGCCCGCAAATGCTCTACAAAGAGGGTTAATTCCTTCTGTCTAAAATAAGGCATTCTACCAGCTGATCTTATCTACAGTTCTCTCATTGAATATAGATATAAATTATCACTTGATTGAGGGATTGGAAGGGAATCCACATTGTTGACTCTCAACTCCGTATTAGCATTGTCCAAACATACCTGTTCCTTTGATTGACAGAAGAAACCAAACCAGGCCAGGCCAAAACAGATAGTTGATATAATATATAAAGTTTGATCTTTCCTAATTTGCAGTATATTTTTCCTGTGTTTGAGTGAGAGATGTGTGAGCATCCACATAATTCTGTCTCCATAGTCATCTTTGAACCTACTCCAGCTTGTAAATTTTCTAATGATCGATTATTCTTCCACTGGCAAATTTGATGCCATTGTGTTTTGATCATATGCTTACACTCCGTAGGTTCTTGGATGAAGTACAGTCATATTCGGGAATTAACAAAATGAGTGTGCAGAACTTGGCAACTGTCTTTGGTCCTAATATCCTGCGTCCCAAAGTGGAAGATCCTTTGACTATCATGGAGGGTAAGTAAATGATCATCTTACACCCTCATCAAAAGAAGAAGCAATTATCTCTTGGTTGGCCAGAATCTACTCACCTCTGAGCAAACCAAGGTAATAAGTGAATATATGGTAACTCCATTTATTAAATGAAGTTCTTTAAATGTGAAATCTTCCTTTTGAGAGTCAGATATATTTTTTGTTTGAATTTACTAAATATAAAATGTACTAAATCACTCTTCATTAGCTTCACAAAAATAAATGAAACCTTCATAAATCGTATGTAAAGTATTATTCCAGGCTGAAAAAAAGAAAACTACTTCACTTGGTGAGTTCAATATAATTTTCAGATAATTCAAAAAGTTATTATTTTCAGTTAGCATACATTTTTATTAATTTTGATTTTATTTGACTGACTTAAAGATGGAAAAATGGTCTTTTATAAAGCAATGCTGCTTGTTTATTTGTAGGTTAAAACACGAAGGAATTTCTGTTGTTCAAATTACAAAGTGTCTCAATTATTTTCTGCAATGAACTAAACTGCACCTTCCTTTTCTTTCCAGCAGGCCTAGGTGCTCTGTGTCATTAATAGCACCATTGTTTGCTGCAAACAAGACTAACTGATGATTTCAAATTTTAATAGGAAAAGGGGAAGCGGAAGCAAAAATTATTTTTAGATTCACCCTGGGTTTTTTTAGTTTAGAACAAAATATCCCCCTCAGTCTCTTGGATTTTACTACCTGATACTGCTCCTTTCTTTAAAATTCCACTATTTCCAGTTCTTTAGACATGCTTTTGCATGTCCGCCTACATCACTTCAGTTTAATTTCCTTTGTTAAATACCAAGGGCAATATAAATTGAACATCAGATTTTTGGCAAGAGATAGTTCAGAAAACTTAATTTCTATCTGAAGAGTTTAGCAGGCATTAGAAAATATGAAATTTAAAGCTACAAGAAGCTTAGAGATACATTAGTCCATTGTTTTTTGAAATCTTTATTATAAATTAAAATGCATACAATACAGAAAACCACCACACATATGCACACACATACACACACATCTTAATTAATTATATAAAACAAATAACTATCTAGGTTAAAAAAAAAAAGTAGAACTTTTCCAGGCATCCCCAAAACACTTCCTTGTGCTGTGACCCAATCCCAGCGTCTGTCATCTTACTATCCAAATTTTGATATCAATTTCTTTGTGTTTCTTTGTAGTTTTATCTCCCAAATGAACTTCCAAGACATTGTATTTAAGTTTCCTATTCCTTTACTTGATATCTTTTTAGAATTTTTAATATACAGAATCCCCTATAACATGCCATTTGAAAAATCATGTTATTTCACTTATAGGGTTTCCTATAATCTGAATTTGTTGATTCATGGATTTGTTGATTCATGGTGCAATGTGATATATAAATATTTCTCTGCCCTCTGCATTTTCTGCAAGTTAGGATATGGATCAAATTCATGTTTGATCTGCGTGACCTTTGATTGTGTTGTGTCCTTATCAGGAGACACATAATGTCTCCTTATCTCTCTTTTTGCAAACTTACAAAATTCCTAAAACAATTAATTGGCAGGAAGCTGAAATGCTGATATTGTAATTATGTGGTTTTTTTTCAACTTTTAATATGGTAAAACACATTTAACATAAAATGTATCATCTTAACCATTTTAAGTTCACAGGTCAGTAGTATTCAGTACATTCATATTGTCTTGCGGACATCACCGCCATCCATCTCCAGAGCTCTTTTTATATTGCAAAACTGAAACTCCCCATCCATTAAACACAAGCTCCTTTTGTCCTCTCCCCCAGGCCCTGGTAACTACCCATCTGCTTTCAGTTTCTATGAATTTGCCTACTCTAGGTACCTCATATACCCATTATCATACTGTATTTGTCTTGTTTTGACTGGCTTATTACACTTAGCATAATGTCCTCAAGCTTCATCCATGAGGCAACATTTTAATTTTTAAGTTAATAATTGGAATGCTTTTCAAAAAATTCCTTCTCATCTACTGCTTAGGAACCCAATGGTAACTTTTTAAAAGGCAACATAAACACTGCTTGGGTCTTTCCCTTTACTTACCAATTTTTAAAGCACATAATCAGATATTTATCTCCTCTAAAAGTGAATTCTACTTCTTTATCTTCCTACTATACATATTATTGTGAATGTTTTAAAAATATCATTATAAACTCATGTATTAAAATCAGTTTACTTGGTCAATACATTGTAATTACCGTCCTTCATTGAATCTCAAATTTTCCCATCTTTGACCAGTGGAAGTATCTTCAAATTGTCTTCTTAGTTCTTTAAACGTGATCTTCCTAGTTTGGGGTAGCTATTTTTCTTTTTAGTATGACCAGGTTTCTCAGGCTCATGTTATATATTTTATGCCCCAAACCTGGAATCAGTCAATTTCCAAAAGTCCTGACTTCTTTTAGTAGGGAAATGATATTTCAAGGTGATCTAGATGCTTAATACCAGTGATACTCATTGCTACTGGCTTGGTTATTGTTTCTAGACTGTTTAGTGGGCAGAGCTAGTAGATATGAATGCACACTACACATGTACATAGCATATGCATAATAAACATATATACACATTTACCTATTAAAGAAAAGTGCTTCACAAGTTCACAATAGTTACAATTCAAATTAGAACTGCAGGGTTTTTATTTATTCCTTTCTCTTTACAGTTTTATTCCCTTTCTTTCAAGGAATCCTGGTTTTCAAAGACACTGAGGATAACAGAATTAGAACATCTCACAGTTAATCATTTGCTCTGTACCTCATCACACACACAGTAGTCTCAGAATAACAATACAAACACTAGTATGATTACTGCAAAATTCTTTACATGTGCTCTTTTAATCCTCCTTTTATTCTTTTAATAGTGATACTATATGTTGTCACAATATATACCTATTATACCCTATACTCTCTCCTTTTTAGTCCTCATTTAATCTTTGGTGATAGGTATATAAATCTATCCACTTAGTGTTCACTACTGGTCCTTATATTGATGTCTCTTCAGCCTAGAGATTCCCAAAATGTTCTCAAAATATACCTGGGGGCCCCTGAGATGCATTTAGGAGGTCCATGGTCTTAAAAGTATTTTCATAGTAATATGAAGGTGCTGTTGCTCTTTCACTGTGTTGACATTTGCACAGATGTCGCTAAAGCAGTGATGGATGCAGCAGCTGGCACCTTAATATGAATCAAGGCAGTGCCATCACGCCCCACTAGCACCATATTCTTCACCACCATGCATTTACAAAAGAGAGAAAAATGCCAATTTTACTTAAGAGTGTTCTTGCTGAACAGTAAAAAATATTAATTGCATTAAATACTCAATCTTGAGAACACATCTGTTTAATATTGTGGTGAAGAGGCAGCTGTCTTTATAAAGCACTTCTGCACACTGCTTCTAAAAGTAACACAATGATTGGCTCAAGGGGAAGCATTTGTGTAATGTTTGAGCAGCACTAACTGCTTTTTCTTGGAACTCCATTTTTATTTGAAAGAACATCTGACAAACTACAGTTATTCAGACTTGAGCATTTAGCACACATTCTCAAAATGAACTAAATGTTTCAGTTCAAGAAATACAGCTGTCAGAGTTTGTTGCCATTGACAAAATTTGAACTTGCATGTGAAAAATTTGTATTTAAAACCTTCGGCTTGACAGCTTCCTAAATTTCTAACCACTTTTCTGATAAGATTAATGTCAATATTAACAAATACATCTTTGATACTGTAGAAATACATGTGTCAGGATTTGGAGGATCAACATAACTCAGTGAATTTTCCAAATGGTGTGTTGTCACAAAGCCATTTGTGTATAAAGGATACCTTCGGGTTAGCTTTTCTGACTTCACAGAGCTTAATCTATTTTTTCACATCATATTAAAAAAAATGGCATCTTGCTTCCTGAGATGTCCTTGCTTTATTGCCTTTTTGATTTCCATTGGTCTTTCTTCCCTTTCTTTCATTTCTATTGTCCTAGTCCTTATCAATTGTCACCCCCATCCTAGTAGTGTCCCCTCCTTGCAGAGCCCTATTTGGAAGACAATCCTGGCTGGTCAGTGTGGAGAGATCTTAGGGGCTGTTTGTCTCTGGCTCCTTCAGATCTTGCCACTGGCCACCTTTACTGGACTAGGTACAATCTCTCCCAATTTTAGCCACTGTTCTTAAATTAAACCTTTGCATTTTCTAGTGAATATCCATGGGGATTTCTGGGGATGTTCTATTTCCAGGCCTATCAGAGCCCCCATTGCTCCCTTCTGCTTCCCTCTACAGAGACACTGATATCATGCAGGCCTTGTGGAAATGGGGATTTGTCTCCACCAGCATATATTTCGGGATTCTGGGAGATACTCTGTCAGCTAGTTTTTTTGAAAATGTTGCCCGTGAGTTTTGGCTTTGCTATTTAGTTGCTCTGTTTTTGTGTGAGGATTTCAGGATATCAAATACTGTGCTGCCATCATCTTCCTAGAATTCATTGTTTGTGTTATTGTTATTGTTTAAACTCTTGTTGCGAATCTTGTTATTTGAGGAGAAATCTTTTAAAAATTGCGTAGAGTCCTGTTGCCTCCCTTGTGGATAAGAAACCTGATACCCAAAGAGAAAAATAAATTTCTCCAAATACACCGATAATTGTGTAAAGGATAGGTACACAAGTAGACAAAGAAGTGGTTTTTTTTGTAAGCACAGGAAAAATGGAGAAGCAAACTAATCCTATCCATTATCATAATTTGTTGGGGGCCATGAGAAGGTCTTAATTCCCTGGGAGTATAGTTGTTTCATTTAGCCCAGGATCAATGAGGCCCCAGGGGAAACCAGCTCACAGCAACCAAACTTTCAGGAGACTTCACTGAGCACATAGACCACTCAGCTACATCCTGGCCCAGTTTCAACATGTGTCAGTATTTAAAGAAAAAGTGTTCTTGCATCCAAAAACAATAAAAAACAAGTTAGATGTTTGTTGCGTCTCTAGAGAAAATACGAAAT